GGCTGAAGATGGATGCCCCAACGTAACAGAGGAACCTTGGGTGACTGTCCAGGCAGCCAGTTGTCTCTGTCCTTCTAGATTTTTGAAAGTTGCTTACAATCAATGCACTTCCTGTTTACTTAGGTAATATTATATTCTTCTGGAGTCTTTCATGTAATTGAAGACTAGGTAGTTATAATTTTCCTTGGTTGTGACAAAAGATAAATTAGATATGATACTTTAGACTTACAGAAATAAGATAGATGATAGAGTGTTTTCTTTAATTTTGCCAAATACAAATAGACTAGATATTGTAACTGTAATTCTTGCTTGATAACTGTTCTATTATATGTAATTTTACTATGTTAAAGTTAAAACCTTCCTCGTTGATTAGACAGAAAAGGGGGAAGTGCTGTAGGATATCTTTCTTATGCTGTGAATATGTGTTGCTATGATGGGCTAATAAAGAAGCTGCTCTGGTCTATAGCAAGTCAGGTTATAGCTAGGCGGGAAATCTAAGAGTAAGCCAGGAAGAAGACAGACAGAGGTGGAGGAGATGCCATCCCGCCATCCAGGGAGTAGCATGTACTGACACACAGGTAAAGCCACAGAACATACAGATTAGTAGAAATGGGTTAAGTTATAAGAGCTAGGTAGCAAGAAGCCTGACCCATGGGCCATATAGTTTGTAAATAATATAAGCCTCTGTGTGTTTACTTGGGGCCAAGCAGCTGCGAGATGTGGGCCGGAGAGATTTGTCCTGACCATAGGGCCAGGCAGGACTGGAGAAACTTCCAACTACAGGTGACCACGGGTCTGCCAGGCAACTGATGCCAGAAAGAACACTGGAGCCTTGCAGGCCCAACCAAGTGCCGCAGCCTTCCATTTTTTGTGGTAGTTGCTCCCAAGCTTCAGGAATTTGTCAACCAAGCAGTGGTGGCCAACAGGAACTAGCTTTTAGAGCATTTTTATGTGACAGAGAAAGGAACACACACACACTTCCCCTACCCTTCACTCAACAAAGATCTGCAACTCATTCTTGGAGTGAGGAGAGGGAGGGCTGGGGGTGTCTTGTGTATATTCAACAAACTGTTTCTTCCCCTCTGTCTCTGTCAAAATAAATGTCAATTATATGGTGCCATGTATGCGTCTAACTCTATGTGTGTTTCTATAGCGAGAACAGGAGAGAGGGCTTCTTGTCTTAACTTTGAGATGCAGAGGTCCAGGGTGGAGCTGACTTCCCCCCTCTATCTCGTTCCTTCAATTTCAGGATGGTTTGTTTCTCCCAAAATAATCTCCGCTGTTACCGGCCCACAGAGCTTCTCCAGAGCTCAGTTTCCTGTGAAATAAGGGGTTAGTGCACACTCAGAAGTCCCTCAGAAGACTAATGTACCAGTTTACTATCAATGAAATTAAAAAAAAAAAAAACTGCCTACATGACTACACTCTGTCACTTTTCCCACAGGCGTGGTGCACACAAATCAAATCAAAACAGAAATCATCACACCCTGTTATGGATCTCAGACACAGTTTCTTTTAATAAAATATGCAAATACTTTGCAGTAAATTGATTTTCCAGTTTCATTCTCTTATCTCCATATTTATTATTCATGACTCCCCCACCCCACCCCCACCCCACCCCTGTTGAAGCACAGAGGTGGGGGGTGGGGTGGGTCTGGAAGGCAGTGAGTTTCCCTGATTCCCTACAGTTAGTATTGGCACAGTGTTATGCTTCTGGGAATAAAAGCTATCTGTGAAAATCACTTCCTGTCTCAGCTGAGGTGACGGACAGAAGGCAAGACTGTTTTCACTGATTTTACCCCAGGCATCGACTCTCCCGGACACCACCACATGTCCCGGCTAAGGAAAAGAATGATCATTTAAGCTCGGGTTTCTGGCACTTCTCCCATCTGTAACCCTTTTTTTAATGCAAGAAATTTTTGCATGACCCTGTGTATATAAGCATATAAAATAGGTATTCAAATAAAAAATTTCCTGGTAATAAATCATCAATAAATTTATTTTAAACAAGTCTTTTATATACATCTAACATTACCTCTGGTAAAGATTCAAGCAAATTTGTGTATTGTTACTTTTTACATAAAGAAGTCATCTTGGAGCCAGTGAGGTGGGTGAGCTGGTAAAGGTGCCTGCTCTCAAGCCTGGTGAGTTCTATCCAATCCTGGGACCCACAGGGTGGAAGGAAAGACCTGACTGTAGATGCATCTACCCTGCTGTTGCTGTTGCTGCTGCCGCCATTCTTGACCGACTGGAAACCCAGCTTCCTCAGACTTCTAATGTGGAAGTCCAGCAGCTCTCTAGGAACCCTCGAGGCCTCCAGTGCCAGACTGGGACTGCTGCGGAATCCAGCCTTATGGACTCAAAAGCCACTGGTTCTTGGCCACTCTGATATGAAGACAGCCATTGTTGGACTACCCATTATTGTTGGACTGCCATATAATGGAAGACAATCTAATAATGCATACACACACACTCTCTATTAGTTCTGTTCCTCTAGAGAGCCCTCACTAATATACAAAACAGACAGTAACATAAGGATGTTGGTGCAAGGGGCTCACTCTGGGGTCACCTCCAGGAGAGGGAGTGGGGGGAACTGGACAAGCAAAGAAGAAACCCAGAAATACACGTGCTGTGGATTGGGGAGCCAGGCTGTTCATGCTGGGGCCTCTGACAAACTTCAGGCTTTGTGGCCAGACCATGGCATTCTCTGTGGTGGGGGAAGAAGGGAGATAGACTGCTGACCCACCATTGGCTGGAAGATTTCCAAGATTATGGGGGCAGCCCTAAGACAGAGAAGAAGAGAGTCTCAGGGCTTGAGGTAAAAAGCTGCCCTCACATCAGTCACAAATGACCCAGCCAACTGAGCAAGACAGGATCGGTCCATGTACAACAGCTGATGCCTATAGATGGGCAGTTCCTTCCTGGATCAGATGCAGAGAACCAGGGTGTTAGCCAGAGGGCCAGAGGCAGAGGACCTGTGTCGGGGAATGTGTAACTGTTCCGTGTGATCATCCCAGGTGTCTTGAGTGGAGCAGGCCAATACACTGCCAGCAGCAAAGAATGAATGGGTCTTGAGAGTAGGCTTGGAGTCGCATCACCTGCAGGGACCCAAATGGAAGCCAGGGACGAACTCCAGAAACGACTCTCTTTCCTGGAACGCTCACTGTGGAAGCCCCAAAGTGCCTGGAACCCCAAGAGGCTGAGCTTCTTAGTTGGTGGGAAGGGAACAGAAGTTGCTGCGGAACTCTTTGTTGTGGCCATCATTGGTTAGGAGTAATCCACAATGCAGGTGGCTAGCTGCTCCTTGCCCCCCCCCCCCCCCCCGGCCCTCCAAAGCTCGTGTTTCCACAGGCCCCACTCATGAAGCTGAGGTCTGTCTTCTCCCAGGAAGCACTCTGCTCCTGCCGCTGGATGGAGTATGAGTACACTCTAGTATCCTGGACCGGATGAAGGGCTTCTTCCAGAGCGTGAGTCCAGCCAGGTTATAACAATCTCCACATCCACTGTTTACAAGTTGGAGTGACGACCTGCCTTCAGCCCTCAGTTGCAGAGATGAAATGCTTAGCCGGGTGGACGATCCTTCCTTTCCCAGTGAAGACCCGCGGGCCTCAGGAGACGGAGGAAGTCTGCAGCCTCCTTCTGGGGCTTGTCTGTAAAACTTCTGTTTCCACATTTCACCCCCGGGCTGTTGTTTCATTATTCAAGAGATGAATTTTTCAAAGAACTTTCAGGCCTATCGGGAAGCAGGTGCCGAGGAATCTAAAAAGATAGGGCCCAAGACAGCACTTTGAGGAGGGCAACTCCATTTAAAATCAGGTTCCAAGGGGTGCACGATGGGAGCCCAGGATAACTCGGATTAAACTCAACTGGTGCTTCCCCTCCCGTGTGAGAGGGGCTGGGAGGGAGGCAGAGCCAGGCCGGTGAGGCAGTTCCGTACTCACGGGGCATCCTGGCTATCACTCTTACCTCTAAGCTCTGCGTTTCCATTCTGCTACCTCGTGACCTAAGATGGCTGTGAAGCCTCGCCACCTCGTCCGTCCACAACCCAGGCTGTAGGAGGGAAGGAAGCCAAAAGTCCAGTCTCCTTCCCCACCAGCCTCTTAAATGAGACTCCACAGTTGGGCCAACAACGTCTGCATGCAGCTCATTGGCCAGACTGTCACATGACTCCATCGAGCTGCGAAGGAGGCTGGGAAGTGTAGTCTTTTAGCCGAGACCAGGTTGCCTCCCATGATGGAAAGATAAAGAAGGGAGAAGGGAGGAGAGGGCACTAGAGAGGCAGTTAACCATCTAGGACCCCACAGGCGATTCCCATAGGCTGAACGGGACAGAGTTCCTGGCGGCCTGGCTTACCGGCCTAACTCCGACCAGCAGCCTAGAAGGCTGCGGAGCAGGTCCCTGAGGCCCATCCCCATGGGCCAGGAGAAGATTCCAGGCCCCGAAAGTTCTAGTTGCCATCCAGCTCTCTGCTCTTTTCTGGCCAGACCTCAAAAGTATCAACGGATGCATCAAGGGATGCAGGAGGCTCTGGGCCTGCTTGCTAATGCACCGTGCAGGTGGGAGCATCACAGCCGGCTTCGGCTTCGTTTGTGGTCACAGGTGGCGGCTGAGTCCCCTGCGAGCGGTGCAGGAATCAGGGGGACGACAAAAATGTTCCTAAGAGAGGGAAAATTACCCAGAAAATGTGTCCCAAGAAAAGTGGGCTTTAAAAAAAGTTTGTCTCACACAAAGCATTGTCTTTAAGTCCTCCAGCAAGGCTAAAAGCCTGTCCCGCTCCTCCCCAGGATTTCTAGTGAATTAATAATACCACTGATGAATATTCAAAAGTAGGCAGCTATTGTGCCTCCAAGCACATAATTAATTATTCATTACACATTTTTACTCACTGAATTAAAAAACACAGGGTGCTGTGGGAAATGAAGTGTGCTTCGCGGCAGGGGCACGAAATTCCACACTGCCCCTTTAAGGACTATTATTCTCTATTTGTGGTTACCAAGCAACATAAATGCTGGGCAATTAGATCATGGGTTGTCCCTGAAGACTGATGGGATAATAAGCTGTAGTTAAGTATTAAGTTGACCCAGTGAAGGTCCCATCTGAATAAACCTGGCTAGGGCCACAGCTGGTGCCTTTTAAATGAAACTTTTACATTAAGAGCATACAAAAGGTGACTGTTCTGGGAGCATGCGCAAAACTGCGCTCTCTGTGAGCCCCGCCAAGGTTCAAGGTGCCTTCGCTCAGCACCTCTGCCTTTGTGAAGCTGTGTAGGCTTGAGTGGCCGGCTCTCCCGTGAGGCCAACTGGGCTGGGGCATTACCATCCAGCATGGCGCTCTGGAGTCACTGGAAAGCTGGTAAAAAGGATGCAAGTACCAGTAAGAGTGTAGCTTCTAGCCCAGAAGAGCTGAAGTCTGAGAGATCAACCCTGCTGGAACCAGAACAGAGCCAGAAAGGCCAAACAGCCTTGTCAGGAACTGGAAGAGTGGGGAAACCTTCCTATCTCCTGGTTTACAAGGCCCCCTGGCTTCTAGACTCCAGCAGTGAAGTTTCCCTGGCCTGGCCTCTGGAACAAAAAACCAAGAAGCCCAAAACTGGAACTCCAGACCCTATGCTCCCCCACCCTCAGGGACTGAGCTAAGTGTGAGTTATGCCTGTCTTCAGAGTCTGAGCCACGTGACTATTGAGTCACTATTAAGATCTGAGAGATGCCTTCGTCCTCAGCCGCCGCTTGGTTGTAAAACAAAACTCCGACTAATGATTGCAGTTAGCTGTTCCTTTACTCCCGCCAGTGTTGGTAAGTCTCTGGGTACACAGGGAAGCTGTACACAGTAGTACACACCATGCACGCAAAAGAGTGATTGGCCATGGGGGTGGGCAGATCCGCCTAGAACGTGGTCCATTCACCTAGTTCTGTTCCTGTCCAATGCACAGGAACACGGAGAACCAGGCAGAAACCAAAATATTTACACTAGTATAAGTCTCAAAGCTCTGTGAGGAGAGTGTCCCTTACTGAAAATGGGGAAACTGAGGCTCCAATAACTTGAACAACCTGGCCAACCACCCACCACACAGCTAGACAGGAGCCAGGGGTCCACCTAGAGGCTGCCCAGGCTCTGAGTCAGGCCTAGACTCAACAGCTAAGGATGAAAGGGAGTTAGAACAGACAGCGCCCGGGGATGAATGCAGGCCCCTGAGGCCCCAGTGGCCAGAGTGAATCCTATTCCGTGGTTGCTGGGCAGTAGGGACAGTGGAGGGAGCCTTCCAGAGTGTAAGCAGCAGTTGCTTTACTGACCAGTACCATCATACAGGTGCCCTTCACCTGAGGACAGCTGGCCTCACAGAGTCCCCACCTTTGGAAAGACAGCTGCCTTCATGAGATCCCCTGAGCTCAAAGGAAGTGGTAAAAGGGATGAGAGCAGCAGACAGGATGAGACACGGCAGGAGGAGGGAGCAGGCAATGGACTACTTCAGAACCAGCCTCACCTCTAGCTCTGCAGGGAAATTAGACCCACTGGCCAGCAGCAGGCAATGGGAAAACCAAGCGAGTGGGATGGACGGGAGAGTTAGCCCAGCAGTTAAAGGTGCTTCCTGTTCTTCCAGATGACCCTTTTCCATTCCCAGGACCCACCTCAGGAGGCGCACAACTGCTGGCAGCTCAGCTCCTGGGGGTCCTACACCCTCTTCTGGTCTCCAAGAACACCTACACACGTGTGGCACACAGACACACAGGTATGCATAAATGAAAAGAAAAAGACCAGGTTCACAAGAAGAGTCAGTTCTCAGGCCTGGCAACGCCACTGACCAGAGTCTTTGGACACACACCCCATCTCACTACTGGTCAAATCCAGGCTTGGAGTTAGAGGAGCTCCAGGAGAGCTTTAACAGTGACGCTGTGACTCTGCGTCTAACAAATGCAAACACCACCGAAGGAAAGGCAGAGCATCCGTGTGTCCCACCTTTATGGATTCTGTGGTTGATGATTGTTTGTTTATTTAACTCAAAATGTCCTAGGATAACAGGGGATGGTGATTTTATTGTAGTCACACAGCATTAATTTTGTAGACAAAAAGGTGGAAATCCAGATTGTTTCTGTCTGCAGACATTTTGCCATGCAGAGCCTGAAACAGTTCTCAATGAAGGATTTAAAAAATTGTACGCCTAAAACTGTGACAGGAAGCAAAGGTGGAGAGAAGAGAAGCAGCTGCAGAGTCTGTGGGTAAGGATTGTTGTGGGATGAGAACAGGCTGACCCAGGAGAAACTTTGGAAAAGGCTGGAAACATGTATTTCCCCATTGCACCAACTCTCCGCCTACTTCCTCATCATAGTTTATATTCCTCCTGTGTGTGTTTCTGAGGAGCAAGATTGCTCAGTTTGGTTTTTCATCTCTGGGGTTCCAGCAAAGTATTAAGATAACAAGTGAACATTTGCTAAAGTCTTGATAAAGGAAAGGATGCATGGATGCTTGGGTGGATGCATGCATAGATTCATGGAGGCATGAGATCATGGATGGATGCATGCATGGGTTGGTAAGTAGATGTAAGATAGATGCATGGGTAAATGGATGCATGGTAGCATGGATGCATGCATACAAGCATGGATTAGTGGGTAGATGCATGAATGAATATATATATGGATGTAGGCATGAATAAATTGGTAGGCAGATATAGGGTAGGTGAATGGATAGATGGGTGTGTGTATGAATGAATTGGTGGGTAGATGAATGAATAAATAGATGGATACATTCATGAATAGATTGTTAAGCAGATATAGGGTAGGTAAATGGATAAATGGGTGCATGTATGAATGGACTGGTGGGTAGATATGTGAATGAATAGATGATACATGCATGAATAGATTGGTAGGTAGATGCATGAATGCATGCACGGAGGCATAGGTGGATGGAGACACAGATGGGTGGGCAGGTGGAGCTCCCGGGGATACTTAGCCCCACTTTCTCTTGCTCTTTCCGAGGAGTGGGTATTTACAGGTTGAGGGGTCACTGGGAGGTTCTTGAGAAGTCTCTTCAGGTCTCCTGTGATAATTTTTAACTGTGAGCATTTGGAGGTTATTGGAGGCAGAACCGCCTGGGAAGGCAGAGGGAATGGCTGTGACAATGGGGACAGCATTCTCAGAACCAAGCATTACAGAGATCTGCAAGTCACCCAGGGTTTCACACCAAATGGAGACCTGGTTCATCATGAAAAGCATGAAGCTCAGACAAGAGCAGTAAATGTATCCAGTAGTCCCACCTGGTGCCGTTCCCACGTCAACTCTCATCTCCCAAGCTGAGGCAATCCAGTAGAATTAGAATTCCTCACACTATGAATCCCTCACACTGAATCCCTCACACTGAACCCCTCACACTGAATCACTTACACTATGAATCCCTCACACTGAACCCCTCACACTGAATCCCT